TCCGAAGTCGTCTTACTATTTCTTAACGGGATAATTTATCGGGGAACGAGAGGAATATTAAGGAGATGCTAAATCTCGTAAGTACCTTTGGCGAAGTGGCGTGCGAACAGCGATAACGACCAAAAGCGAGCGAAATGGCGCGATATCGAAGCTGAATCTGTGGTAACGAAGCGCTATAAGCGGGTAGATCGATATGCGAAACGAGCCCTTTCATTTATCCGGTGTGTTTCGTCGCAGTCGGCATGCGACCTTAGCGGAAAGTTTCCAGCGAGCAGCTTGCCGCTTGTAGGACGCGTAACGCGGTCGCATATTTTGCGGCGGCAAAATCGCTCCACCGAGAGCTCAGAAAACTGTGCGACGTTGCTGAGACCTCCGGGAGAACCGGTAGAAGTATAGAACATGCAACAGAGACCGAAATACAAGAAAGATTCGCGAGGAAACGGAAAACGTGACGGGCGGAAAGTGGCTGTGTTTGTTTTGCACTTTGGCGAAATGAATTTCGCCATCTTGCTTCCCGAATCTCGTTTCACGTTTTCACGCGATGTGAATTTCCATTTCGATTTGCCCGGCCATTAATTGCACGCGACTTGTACGCGGATTACGAGCGGAAAACGAAAACGCATCGGAGTAATGTCACGCGGGATGTCTCGGTTAATCGATCGAGAGTCGCGATTCGCTTGCGGAATCATTTGTGTATACAGATCGCTTTGTAACGTCTCGACGAGCTTATCGCACATCGCTTAAAGGGGCTTAAATTTGACATCGCTAACCTAACCGTTGATTAATCAACAACCACAATGCTTTGCGTAGAATTGCTTTCCTCATATTCACCCTATTATTGGTATTATGTGCCAATGAAGGTACCGTCTCTGCTTTATCGCAAGGCAATCAGAGAAGGACCCAACAAACGGAGTAATTTGTACATGTGATACGCTCTCGGCTATGTTGATAGGAGATTCTATTTATATAACGATGTAAAAAAAATCTGCTCTCGTTTATTGATTAGAGAGACAGGCAGGGCAAGAGAGAGAGAGAGAGAGAGAGAGAGAGAGGAGGGAGGAGAGATA